TGAGAAAACATGCAGGTATTAAATTTAGCGGTGGAAGCTTTTAGGTCTTCAAGCAGAGCTCCAAAATATAGATAACATTCCTCAAGGGATTTGGCCAAAATTAATGGCTTGCAGATAGTCAGAATCTACGACTCCATTCCAGTATCCAAACTCCTTACCCAGTTGTGGACCGAAATTTAGAGCTAGGATTTCTCCATGGAGGGCTGTGCCATTGAAGAGTACTGCCCGCTGACCTGAGCCGCGCACGTCACCATTGCTGTCTCTAATAACAACTCCCAAACCAGCAATACCACCACCATTTGGAATAACTGCATCATTATTGATCTTTATGATTCCTGTAGGTGGCAGCTGCCAGGTGGAGTTATTAGTCAGCTGTTGTAGAGATCCTTTCGCCTTTCTCTGCTCGGACTCGGTAGCCTCTTTGAACTCTGTAAGTCCCACTTTGATCATTCTAGTTGCTTTATCTGGACTGAGACACAAGTGGTTAAAAACACATTGGTTTCTATTATTCCAAATGCTCCATAAAGCAACCGCCAACAGTTCCTGCTCTTCATGCTTGAGGGCCAAAAATAGGTCTAAGAAGTCATCTATGAAATGCTCGTATCTAATGGAAGCAGAAGAGAAATCTGCAGCAACTTTGGACCATACTTCCTTGCTCCAAGGACATTGGAAAAACATGGGAAGGTAAGATTCTTCGTGTTGGAATAAATTGCTTGAGATTTTGATTAACACACTACAAAATTAAAAAATTAATGGAATAAAAAATGTGTACCAACACAAGGAAGACACAGAATTTACATGATTTAACTCTAAAATTCAACTCCAATTAATTAAGTTTACGTTCATGAACACTCAAAAAAAAAAAATTCACTATTAAATAGAAAAATATAATTTATGATACTCTCACAAATATTCAATCTTCAAATATATTTAAATCTTACTTATAATATTTTTAAATATAAAACACACTCAAAAAACACTCAACAAAAAATTTTAACCACATGCTCTTACTCACCCTCACCCAAAGCACTAACAACTGTCTTGAATTTACTAGAGCTCACTCTGCTTTCTTTTTGGATTTCTCTTGATGATTTGCCAAATGGTCAAATGGCCTTTTATAGCCCAAAAGCCAACTACCCACAATAAATGCAATTGGCTGTAAAGTCATGACCCAACGATGCACAATAAATATTACATGAACAAAGTTGCAGCAAGCAAATTTTCATTTCAAAAGCTGCCATAAGACTTCCATTTTTCCAATAAAAATCAGCTGCCATGAGATTTCCCATGCAACCAAATTTTAAAGACTGAAATTTGCAAGCTTTTTCAACCACGATGCAGAACCCACATGCAACAACAATGCAACCGACATATTCCACAACCTGGTTCTATTTCCATGCCTTTGGATCTAAGCGCATCTCAGTTGGTAGGATTTCCCGTATGAGTTTCCATAGGAAGTACTTTATCTGAGGTTGCACTTCAAGGGACCATATATCTTTCCATTCCGGTTTTATAATTTCTTCATGCTCTAAGATACAATAAATTATGTTAATAACATCAATTAAAATTCTGTTTAGCATGATTATAGTTTTAAATTTTTAGTTTTGATTTTCAAAATTAAAATTAAAATTAAAATTACAAACTTATTAAATTTAAAATTTTTAAATAAATACCTAAAACTTCAAATTTAATTAATTTATAAAATTACCTAATTTTATTTTAGGGTTTCAAAATTTTTAAAAATCAAAATCAAAAGTTTAAAATCATAAACATACTAAACAAAGTATAAATTACGCAACACTAACATGTGGGTTTGTATCAAATAATTTTTATCCCCATGATCAAACCTGAAAATATTCATATGTCATCAAGACAGCCACATCCTTCCAAAGTAGAAGAAGAAATCAACTCTGGATTGCATACATTGATCTTTCTCTGTAAAGGGAAAAAGTTTCAACATCAACGTTGCAACTTTCTACAATTTTTTTTTTTAAATCACCTAATGTCGTTTTCTTTCTCCTAATTAATTTCTATTCTCAATTAATTTTTAATTTTAATTCTAGATGCCACTTTTTTGAAAGTTAATCTTTTCACTGAAGAATTGGAGGATTCTAGTCGTTGCCCCGATCATGGCATAATGAAAAAACTTCATTTTTCCAATGGAAAAACAAAAAAAAAAGAAAAAAAAACCTTTTATCACCATTCTGTAACTTTTTTTGGTTGTATATTCTCAATGAATTTATGGTGTTTGATTTTCAAAAATAAAAAATTATTCTGTCGATTTTAACACGGATTCTTAAGATGCTACAGTCTATATTCATCATAAAAATACAAATTTATACGGTTGGTGATAAAGGTTTTTTAATTTTTTAACAGTAAAAAGGAATATATTATTAGGGAAAAGTACTTGTTCTCTTAACTTATAAAAATTTAGAAAAATGTTATTACATATATTAGAATTAGATCTTCCACCTTAATTACTGGGCAATGCTTTCATTAGCAGATTATTGTTTTGTAAATCCATTTGCCAAACCCAAGAGTAAATGGATACATGTTGGTTGATTTTGTGGGCCTAGTTTTGACACTCATTTGGTCTATTGGCCCACAAATATTTACATCTTTTGTGGTTTTTGACCATGGCCCAAAGGACACTGGTCTAACACCGTAATGGCGGGAGTGGACAATGGTCAATAGGAATGCCCAGAACAAACTATAAATCAGCACATAAACACAAACGGAGATTATAAAAAAAAAAAAAGACTACAATTCAACAATATTTTGATAAAAATAAAGAAAGTTCATGACTTCTTTAATTGGCAAACAAAAATAATTCCGAATCGCCTGAATA